TGCGCCTGTGTCTCCACCCCATCCTTGTTGAGACAGGGTTTCATAATATTCAGTCTGATCTTGAACTTGTGTTAGTCAAGGATGACCTTGAACTCCCGATCCTCCTGTCTCCCAAGTGCTAGGATTACAGGCATACTTCACCAACACAGATTTTAAATGGCTCATTGAGCTGCAGATGTCTTGGCTGGGAATGAAGGCACTGCTTCTTAAGACCCATAGACTCGAGGGACCCCCGGGTCTGGGCCGGGAAGAAGTTTTCAAAGTCTGACTTGTCAGCCATGCTTTTAAAGCACCCAACTCCATTCACCTGTAGCGTGGCACGGAGTGGTGGTGGTGGTGGGGGGGGTTGGTTGTGCCCCACAGCAGTTCTGTGCTGGGGCGCCCCAACCTGTGTGCGATCCCTTCTGTCCCCTGGTGTTTATATTCTCACTTTCCTTAAACTGCAGTTTCCTGCAACTCCAGGCCTCATCTCTAATCCGTAAACTTGCTCGCGTGCGCTCTCTCTCTCTTTTTTTTTTTTTTTTCCTATGCTCGTGCTTCTGTGAAACTAACTCACTTTCTACAACTTTCTCCCGGCACTCTCAGGCTGTCTGAAGCCAGGGCTCCTGTCCCACCGCGGCTGCTCGGGGGTCCCCCCTCCGCGGCCGGCACACAGCCCGCCTCCCCTAGGGCCCCCATCCTTCCCCATAGCCCCCCCCCATCCCCAGAGTTGGGGGGGGAGAGGGGGCAGGGCAAGGCGCCCGCAGGAGCTGGCAGGCGGGGCGGGGCCCTGGGAACGGACTGGCCAGCCTCGCCCCCAGGCCCCCTGCGCCCCTCGGGCCGGGGTGAGGGGCTGGCCCAGCGCCAGCGTAGGAGGCCGGCCCCCTCCCCCGGCCCGCGCGTAGCCAACCAGGAACTCCAGCGGGGCCCACGTGACCTGGAGTTCTAGACAAAGAAAATGTTCCCTCCCTCCCCCCCAGCGCCCCCTCCCCCTCCCTCTGGCCCCCTCCGCCCCCAGCCCCAGCGCCCCCTGCCCCTCCCCCCCGACGGGCAGCTATTTACAGAGCTTCGGGCCGCGGCTCACACCTGAGCCGGACCGCAGAGGGGCTGCACCTGGCCTTATGGGTAGGTTCCTGGACGGAGCCCTGGGGATACCGGGGGCGGGGAGGTGGCAGGGCCGGTGGGAGGGTCCCCGCAGCCCTCAGTGTTGCAAAGAGTCAAGTCAGCCTCCCTGGCCCACCTGACCTCCGGGGGTTGCCCACTGGGGTCGTCCCACTCACTCTTCGTGTTGAGGAGCTTCAAGGCCCCACTCTTGACTGGTCTCATGTGTCACCGGGCACGCTCAGGGGACTGGAAGATCGGCCCCGGCAGTGGTAACTGCGAGCTGGGAGCGGACGGCCCTGCTGAAAGGCTGGAAAGAGTTGGGTTGGAAGCAGTCTGGGCTGGAGCTGTTGGCAGATGGGTGCCCGGCAGTTCTTGATGACCTGTGTGTGTCTTCTTGGGGTACCATGTTGGCCTCCAGGCCCTAACTAACTCTAGGACTCTGGAGAGGGACAGTTTCCTCCCAGAATGCACCCCCAATAGTCCTGTATCACTAGGCCAGCATCCAGAAAGAAGTGGTGGGTAATGGCAGAGAGTAGAGCCACCGAGTCGAGAAGGGTAGCCTGGTGTCTTGTGACACTGGGATAGCCCAAAGCCGCATGGGCTTGGGGGAAGAGGCAGTTAGACCTCTGACCTTTGGAATGGGAGTCGCCGAGGGAGGTGGAGCCGGTACAGCTGCCTGAGGAGGTGGGACCGGACAGGGAAGCTGTAGGCAGTGGAGTCACCAGCGGCTTTCCTGGGCCAGAGGAACTCTAGGCCAAGTGGCTTTCTTGAGCCATGGGTATTAGGGGTTGGTGGTGTGTCCCCTCTTGGACCCTGCCCAATCTCGGGGCTTCGAGACCAAATGCTAGAGGCCCCTAGTTAACCCTTCCCTTCCCTATTGTCTGCTTGGGGAGTAGGGGTAGTAGTGAACGTGGGAAGGGAGGGTGGCTCTACCACCCGGCTCACTATTCTAATGAGCCCCTCCCCCACCGGCCACGCTACCCCCTCTTCCCCTTTCCTTCCCTCTGGCCTCCTGCTGCTAACCCCCTCTGGCTCTGCGGGTCCTGGGGGAGGCCCCCTTCCTCCTATGCCAGCCCAGGCTGTGCTGGGCACATGTTCTGTGCTGGTGGATTGGGGGTGCTCAGCAGCAGCGGCATCTGACTAACGGGGGGGGGGAGTTGTGGGAGACGGATTTTTCACGAACTGTGGTGAAGGGGGTGAGGAGAAAGACAAAGTCGCTATGGGGGGAATAATAAGGGTGGTGGCAGGCACGACTACTCCCTTAGAGACCTGGCAGCCTGGGGGGGAGGAGCCTTCGCCTACCAGCTCTTCCTTGCTGTGGGAAATGGTCGCTGCCGACCTCTTTCCTCTGCAGGCTGCATGCATGCCTCATGCGGGCTGAGGAGCCTCACCAGGCCTGCCCACCTGGTCTTCGGATCATTGGAGGCAGCCGCCACCCAAGTTGGGTCTGTCATGACTGTCAGAAGTTCTAGAAGCCGTGGTGGGAAGAGAGAGGCAACATCCCGGCAGGGGTGTGTGTGTGTGTGTGTATCAACTTTTGCAGATAGTGATTCCAGAAGAGGAGGTGGCTTCCCGGGAAAACTCACCCCAAAGGGGAGGTGATAGCTAATTGGTGGAAGGAGGGGAAAGCAGCCCTGGCCAGGTGAGGGTAAGGCTGGGGAAAGTAGACAATTGCCCGGCAGTCTTTCCTCCCCAGCCTGGAGCTGGCTCTCCCAGCCCTATCATTCCACTTGGGGTTTGCTGAACCAAGGGCAAGCACTCAAAATTACCCACCTCTGTGTTTTAGGGTTCGCCGAAGGAAAAGGGGTTGGGTTGTTGCCCTGAGGCAAAAACATGGAGATTGGAATAAAGTAATGCTCCATGGCTCACCTGAAAGGTGACCCTGTGAGCAGCTTTGCGTGCGCGGTGAGTTGACAGTCTTTGGGCGCATCCTTGGAGTCTTTGATGTATACCCGTTTCAGGCGGTCATCAGGTCAAGAAAAGTGACCAGAAACCTTGAAGTCTGAAGGTTTAGGTTGGAACAACCCACAGGGAAAGACTGGGCCAGTCAGCTGCTACTGAGTTTCCATGCCAACAGAGGGTACATAGGCACTTAAGTTCCCACCTGGCTGTTATTTTTTTGGTTTTTTTTTTTTTTAAGAGCAATTTCAAGGTATCCCAGGCTGGCCTCCCAATGAGCTGCTGTCCTGCTTGTGCTCAGATTATTATCTAGTGTGCACGCTACACCTGGCTCCCAAGTTTTCCGATCTTTTAAAAAATAACACTGACTTGATTGTGCTTCCTCTCCTCACCCTCATGGCGTGAATGTGGAGACGAGAGGGGCAGCTTGCTGGTAGGAGTGGGTTCTCCTACCAAGTGAGTCCTGAGGCCCAAGTTCAGTTCAAGTCAGTAAGCACCTTCACCTGCTCAGCCAGCGACCCCCCCCTCCCTTTTTAATCCTAAGAGTGGCTTAGCTGTCATAGCTCCAGGTTCTTGGGGAAAGCTACGTGTAGAAAATGGTGTGGGGGGAGGGGGCTTTGGTAGAGCACGTGCAGAGCTGTGCACAGGGCTCCAGGTTCAGTTCTCAGCAGCGATTTAAAAAAGGTTGGGCCCCCGGCATGTTAGTGCATGCCTTTGATCCCAGCATTAGGAAGCAGAGGCAGGCAGATCTCTGAGTTCCGGTGAGGCCAGCCTGGTCTACAGAGTTCAGCCACGGCTACACAGATGAACTCTGTCTCAACAACAACAAAATAAAAAGCAGAGGAAAGTCATGGTCCCTCTCCCTGCTCTCTCTGTTCCCAGCTGATAAGGTAAAAATAGGTACAGATCCTTGAATTTTGTGGATGCGTGCTCTAGATTTACTGATGGAGGCGAGCTGAAAGGTCCCCAGAACTTGGTAGTAAGCCTACCTTCATAGGAATCTTTGGGCAATAGTTTGTTTTGTTTTGTTTTTGTTGTGAGACAAGGTCTGTCAATTATGTGTGACTCTGGCCATCCTGGAGCTCACTCTGTTGACCAGGCTGGCTTCAGACTCTCAGAAATCCACCTGCCTCTGCCTCCCGAGTGCTGGGATTGAAGGTGCATACCAGCGTGCCTGGCTCTGAGGACGTTTTGGAATTGGGCTCGAGGTGTCCTTGGTGTCGAAAGTGTGATAGAGGATGCGGACTGTTCAGTTAGAGGTTCAGTGAGGGTGGCCGGTCTGTTGGCCACGTGGCAGAGACGGGTCCTGATCGGTGTGCTCAGCAAATAACCGAATGAGCACACCTATGGATGGTCAGAAGGTACACCTGTAACAGCACACAGCATGCTGGCTGTGTGATGAGTGAACCTTAGTGTCATCTGCATGGGGACAGGCATGCATAGAGCTTTCTGTTACAATGTCAGAGGAGAAACATGGGGTTGTACTCTTTAATAGAGGCGTCACACAGCTGTGGTCTGGAAACTAGGTGGGAAGGATTTGATTGCCAAAAAGCGGAACATGGAAAGCTGACTTCTCAGTTGGGAAGTAAGACAGGAGGAGCTGGAGCCAAGATCCTTGCCTGAACAGTGATGCGCAATTAATGTTCGAGACGCTAGCCCTCGTGGTATAAGCCTGTAACCCTAGCATTGAAGAGGTAGAGGCAGGAGGATCGAGAGTTTCAGGGTCATCCTAAGCTACAAGCATGTTTGAAGCTAGCCTGGGCTACGTGAGATCCTGTGTCGAAAAAGGCGAGAGGGTAGACGCATGGCGAAGAGGGGGGATCTCCTGGAGGCAGGAGGGAGGGTTCTGTAGGCCTTCCGACTTCAGCCGTTCATCTTTACGTGGTGAGCTGCTTGGGCTGGTGAGATAAGAGCTGCCCTCTCCAGACCCCCGATGGGTTGAAGAGGCTCTCTCTGGGTTGCGTGGCCTTGCTCATTCCTGGAGGGGTCAAGGTGACTTCCTGTCCCCATTTCCCCAGGCTGAGAAGAAAGCCAAGGTCATTGCAGTAATGAATGCTGTGGAAGAAAACCAGGCCTCTGGAGAGCCTCAGAAGGTAGAGGAGGCTAGCCCTCCTGCTGTGCAGCAGCCCACCGACCCTGCGTCCCCTACTGTGGCCACCACCCCTGAGCCAGTGGGGGCTGATGCTGGGGACAAGAATGCCACCAAAGCAGCTGAGGATGAGCCCGAGTATGAGGTGAGCAGGTTGCTTCTCTGGTAGCCTTGGCTAGCTCTCTCCTGGGGTCTGTCACTGCCAGCTCCTCCCTCCCACTCTCCTCAGGCCATCTCCTGCCGCTTCCAGGCCTTCATCTTTGTCCCCTGCATTCTCCTGGGGGCTTTCTCCTTCCCACGTGTCCAGGGCTGGGGTTGTGCTCTGGGAGGTTTCGGGGTGACTATAGTTTTGGTGCCTGTCCTGGATCTCGCTATATAGACCAGGCTGGCCTCGAACTCACAGAGATCCACCTGCCTCTGCCTCCCAAGTGCTGGGATTAAAGGCGTGCGCCACCACCGCCCGGCGTGACTACTGTTTATATGACTTTTGCTCCTTGGGGCTCCAGGACGGCCGTGGCTTTGGCATCGGAGAGCTGGTGTGGGGGAAACTCCGGGGCTTCTCCTGGTGGCCAGGCCGGATCGTGTCTTGGTGGATGACAGGCCGGAGCCGAGCCGCTGAAGGCACTCGCTGGGTCATGTGGTTCGGAGATGGCAAGTTCTCAGTGGTGAGTGGGGCTTGGTGGTCAGGAGGTAGGGGGAGAGAGTAAGGGGTCTTGGTTCAGTGGCCTAGATTCTGCTGGGTGCAGTCTGGAATAAGAGCATTAAAATACACTGTTTGCCCTCCTATGTGGGAAGAAGCCATGGTGATCATTGAGCTGAGTAGGAAGGCTACTGGCCCACCAGCTGCCGGGGGCCCTTCAGATATTTTCCCACTCACGGTCTGGGCTCCTCTCTTACTATTTGTCATTTTTGTCAATGCCTCTGGTCCCCCCGGGGACCCAGACTCTTGGTTTTTCGAGACAGGGTTTCTCTGTGTAGCTTTGGTGCCTGTCCTGGATCTCCCACTGTAGACCAGGCTGGCCTCGAACTCACAGAGATCCACCTGGCTCTGCCTCCCGAGTGCTGGGATTAAAGGCGTGCACCACCGCCGCCGGGCAAGCCCCTAGACTCTTAATGTTCCTCATGCTTAACAGTTACAAGGCACGTGGCTTAACTGTATAGGGAACAGCTGGGTGTGGTTAACCTACTGAAACGGGAGAACCACAAGTTCAAGACCAACCTGACTCACATAGCGAGTGCCAGGCCACGCAGGCTGTAGAGTTAAGACCACGCCTCACGGGCGGAACAAACTGAGGGGGGCTTGGTCCCTAGGTGTGTGTCGAGAAGCTCATGCCACTGAGCTCCTTCTGCAGCGCGTTCCACCAGGCCACCTACAACAAGCAGCCCATGTACCGCAAAGCCATCTACGAAGTCCTCCAGGTGAGCACAGTCCTCCAGGTGAGCGCGTCCCCAGCAGCTCCGGGGAGTTTTTAGCTGGTGGGGCTGCCAGGATGCCTGGAAGTTGGAGCCTGGTCAGCCGTGACCTTTACTCTTCTTCCCGGCCGTTCTCCTGCCTGCTGCCTGCCTGTCTTGGCTGCTCGGAGTTGGGCGTCACCTGTCATCTCATCTGTCCCCACCTTTGTCCCCTTCCTTCTAGGTGGCCAGCAGCCGTGCCGGGAAGCTGTTTCCAGCTTGCCATGACAGTGACGAAAGTGACACCAGCAAGGCTGTGGAGGTGCAGAACAAGCAGATGATCGAATGGGCCCTTGGGGGCTTCCAGCCCTCTGGTCCCAAGGGCCTAGAGCCACCAGAAGGTAAATGTGGGCAATGGGGCTGGTCCATCCAGTGCGGCTTGGACTGGGAAAGCCGCACTTGGGGTGCTGCAGAGGCCCCCACAGTGGGGCAGATGGAAATGGGCCTTCCAGGCTTCTGTCACCCCACGGGCGTGCTGCCCTGCGATTCCAAAGTAGCCTGTCATCCATTGGCACCCCAGAACTGGGAGGTGGGAAGCCGCTGGGGACGGTGTGGTGCCCCGCTGTGGGCTCCGCGCTAGGATCAGCCTGTAACTGGTGTGTGGTCCACCTGCCTCCTTGGTGCAGAGGAGAAGAATCCATACAAGGAAGTCTACACGGACATGTGGGTTGAGCCCGAGGCGGCTGCGTATGCCCCGCCCCCACCAGCCAAGAAACCCAGAAAGAGCACAGCGGAAAAGCCTAAGGTCAAGGAGATCATTGACGAGCGCACAAGAGGTAGGAGCCGGGCTCCTGGAGAGAGGATCGGGAGCCCTGAGGGGGCAGAAGGCATCTATCTGGGTGCCCGTCCTGAGCTGTCTGAACAGCCTCCTAATGTGGGCTCTTCATCCTCTGCAGAGCGGCTGGTGTATGAGGTGCGGCAGAAGTGTCGGAACATCGAGGGTGAGTGTTGCCTAGGAGGGGGCTGGGCTTGCCCCTCACGCAGCCAGAGTGTGGCCATAGTTGTGGAGTGGCATGGGTTCTTAGGAAGGCTGGGGTAATGTGGGCCCCAGCTGCACACCCCATCACCTCCATCCATCGGATGCTCCTGTTCCTTTAGGGTATGGGAACACCCCCATGATTTCAGAGAAGGTGGTCCTTGTGGCCGCAATGGAACTTGACTGAAGTTGACCTTGACCTTGCCATTTTCTTTTTTCTTTTTTTTTTTTTTTTTGAGACAGGGTTTCTCTGTGTAGTTTTGGTACCTGTCCTGGATCTCATTCTGTAGACCAGGCTGGCCTCGAACTCACAGAGATGCGCCTGGCTCTGCCTCCCGAGTGCTGGGATTAAAGGCGTGTGCCACCACCGCCCGCCCAACCTTGCCATTTTCAATCTTCACCTTCTCAAAGCCAATATCTACCTCCCCTAGTCCCGTGGTAATGATCTGACCACAGGATCTTGGGTCTAGAAACATTAGGAATTGGACTAGAGGACTGCCGGGGGGGGGGGGGGGGGTGTGGATATGCAACTTGGACCCGGACCCTGTTCTCATGGATGTTTTTCTGTCTCTATGTCACCCTATTCCTGGGCGGTGGTATAGCTGAAAGAGATGAGTGAGCATCTGAGATTAACATCTGCCTTTACATAGAGCTATGTGGGATATCTGTGAACGAGCACACATGCATGTGTGTGTTTGTGGAGGGCATAGAGCAACGCCAGGTGTCTTCCTCAATTGCTCTCCACTTTTATTTCATGAGACAGGGTGTCTCTCACTAACCCTGGAGCTCATAATTTCACCTCAGCTGGATGGCCAGTGAACCCCCCAAGAATCTAGCCATCTTCTGCCCTTCCCAGCACTGGGATCCCACGGCCATGCCTAGCTTTTTCTTCTTTTTTAACTTGGAAAATTTTATATGTGCATACAATGTATCTTGATGATGTTTACCCCCAACTCCCACTGGTCTTGCTGCAACAATGGTCCTTTCTTTGTCTGCTCCCCTGCCCCGACTCCCCATTGGTGCGGCATGCCCGGCTTTTTCATGTGGGTGCCGGGAATCTGAACTCGGACCTTCGTGCTTCCTTGAATCACCCAGCTCCACAGACCTTTGCTGGTGTTTGCTTTGGCTTGGGACAGAATCGCCTGTCGCTCGGGCTTGCCTTGAACTCACTTTGTCGTCCGGGCTGGTCTTTGATTTTTCTCAGCCTCTCAAGCGCTGAGATTATGGCCGTGAGCTACCAGTGTTGACTGCTCTTCTGACAGACACTTCGGTGGATGTTGTCTTAGCTGGGCTCTAGCCCCAGGTGGACAGGAACTCCAGGGGATGGATGCTCATGGCATCATGGCATCTTGTTATCTTACAGACATTTGTATCTCATGTGGAAGCCTCAATGTCACCCTGGAGCACCCACTCTTCATTGGTGGAATGTGCCAGAACTGTAAGGTAGGGACACAACCCACCTCAAGAGGAACCAACAACCGACTAGATGTGGTGTGGACCCCTGTGTGCACTCAGGCTCCAAAGATTGAGGCTTGTTCTGGTTACGTCATGAAAGATCCTTGCATGCTGGCATCTTGGCCCCGCGTGGGCAGGAATGGGACTTAGCAATGGGTGAAGGGTGGGGGGCAGGGACAGGGGGGCTGACTGATAGGTGGGTTGCCATTCCTTCGGGAACCCCTGTAGAAGGCCATAGGACAGAACTGTTGGTGGGCAGATCCCTTCCCAGCCTCGCTGTCCGGTTCAGGGCCTGTCTACACTTGGCTGGGCCGGGTCCCTCACTGGTGCTTCTGACCCTCCGCGTTCTCCCTAGAACTGCTTCTTGGAGTGCGCCTACCAGTATGACGATGACGGGTACCAGTCCTACTGCACCATCTGCTGTGGGGGGCGTGAAGTGCTCATGTGTGGGAACAATAACTGCTGCAGGTGAGACTCCTGCCCCCTCCCCGCAGAGCTCCGCCTGCCTGCCTGCCACGTCTGGACCAGTCATGACTGTCCCCGCCAGAGCTTAGGCCTACTGCTTCAGACTGGGTCCGAGACTCCGCCCTCTTCACTGGGCTGTCTTCCAGGTGCTTTTGTGTCGAGTGTGTGGATCTCTTGGTGGGGCCAGGAGCTGCCCAAGCGGCCATTAAGGAAGACCCCTGGAACTGCTATATGTGTGGGCACAAGGGCACTTATGGACTGCTGCGGAGACGGGAAGACTGGCCCTCCAGGCTCCAGATGTTCTTTGCCAATAACCACGACCAGGAATTTGTGAGTGTCGGGCCCTGGCTGTGGTCTCCCACTGGTCCTCCGTGAGGGCGCTTCGGTGGGCTGTGGGGTCTGAGCGGGCAGCAGAAGGGGAGTGAGATGTGTGTGTGAGTTGTGCAGATCCATCTAGAAGGCCTATAGTTCTCAGCTGGGGGGGGGGGGGGTCAGCAACACAGGATGGGGAGCTGGAACAGTCCTAGGCATGGACCTGACCAGTGGTCTTCACTACTCAGGATCCCCCAAAGGTTTACCCACCAGTTCCGGCTGAGAAGAGGAAGCCTATCCGGGTGCTATCTCTCTTTGATGGAATTGCTACAGGTGAGTGGCATGGGTTCTGAGGAACTGGCCTGCTTTCCTTTGGAGAGTAGAGTAGTACGTTTGTGTAGCTGATAAAACTCAGTGACTTAAGAACTAGGTACGATAGTGCACACACTATCCCAGTACTTGGACAGAGGCAAGGGGATCAGGATTTAATTCACCCTGGCCTGCCCAGCTAGTTCAAGGCCGCCTTGGGTTATGTCTCAACAGTGATTATTGCTTGTTAGAGCTGGGCATGGTGTGCACCCCTTTAATCTCAGCACTCAGGAGGCAGAGGCAAGTAGAGCTGAGTTCGAGGCCAGCCTGGTCTACAGCGCCGAGTTCTATCCAGCCAGCTGAGGCTACATAGTGAGGCCCTGTCTAAAAAATTAAAACAATCACTCGGGCTGGAGAGATGGCTCAGCAGTTAAGAGCACTGGCTGTTCTTCCAGAGGTCCCAAGTTCAGTTCCCAGCAACCACATGGTGGCTCACAACCATCTACAGTGAGATCTGGTGCCCTCTTCTGGCCTGCAGGTGTACATGCAGATAGAACACCATGTGCATAAAATAAATAAATCTTAAAAAAAAAATAAAGCAATGAATCATGTTCCACCTAAGAAGCTCGCCGGGGAGACCTGGTGGGGCTGTAGAAATGGAGCCACTGTCTGTCATTTTTTGTGTCCCCTCCCTGGATGCGTTACTGCTTTCCTGCCTCAGTAGGCAGCCTCTGGGGAGGCTGGTAAAGAAGTCACCATAGTGGGTTGGGGACTTAGCTCAGTGGTAGAGCGCTTGCCTAGCAAGCACAAGGCCCTGGGTTCGGGCCTCAGCTCTGGGGGGAAAAAATAGAAGTCACCATAGCTAGTTAAGAGGAAGAGCAATGAAGGGACCCTGACATGGGCAAATCCAAGATTGGGAAAATAAAGTGAGGCCGAGAAATGCGAAGTGCTTGAATGCCTGGCCATGGAGAGCGGCTCTGGAGGACCGCTGGGGAGCTGGGCCAATGTCGTTCTCGGCTGGGCGGGGTCAACCCAGGATCGCGATCTGGGACAGTCCCAGGCATGGACCTGGCCAACGGTGTTCACTACTTAGGACCCCCTTTCTTAGAGCAGGTACGTTCTATTGTGCCACATGACGGCATAGAATTTCAGCAGGAAGTACTAGGTAGTCAGTCAGGACCACAGTGTGGGCCATGGAAACTATGAGAAGGCCACCAAGGGAGCGGCTGTTCCCCTCTGGATCTGAAACCATCTGCTGTCCTGGTTAGTCTTTCCTGGCTCTGGCCACCTTCCACATGGGCAGAACTGATGCACAGCCATGTTGCTTGTCTGTGCTGAACTGCTTTGATCGGTACCAGGGAGCTTCATTCACATGGGCAAGGTGAATCTTGGGGCCTTACAGGTGATCCCCTGTGTGCCATTGGCAAGATCAGCCTTAAGACCCAAGTATCCGGTTGAGGGCTCTGGGTGACAGCGCTTGCTCTCTGCTGGCTGGCACAGGGCTCCTGGTGCTAAAGGACCTGGGCATCCAAGTGGACCGCTACATTGCTTCAGAGGTGTGTGAGGACTCCATCACTGTGGGCATGGTGCGGCACCAAGGAAAGATCATGTACGTCGGGGACGTCCGCAGCGTCACACAGAAGCATGTATGTCCGTTCTCGGGGATGTCTGTTTTCCCCCAGTGCCCCAGAGGCGGGTGCCGCCACCCTCTCCTTTCATTGTGTCCCTGTTTCCTTCTGGCCCTCTCCTCCAGCCTTCCTTCCTTGTTTTCCATTTCACGTCCATGGCTTGTGAGGGGGATGAGCAGATTGGAAATGGGAAGTTGGGAGCCAGAGGTAGAATTGTAGGACTCTTGTCCAGAGGAGGGCCTGCAGCCCTGGTTCAGTCCCTTGTATAAAATGGGGTGCTTGCTGTCTGGGGCTCCAGCTGTTCTCTGGTGGTTTGGGGGCTCTTTGTGGTAACGTGTTCTGGATTGGAAAAAAAGGTTTCTGTCATCTAGGTGTTTCTGGCAAATTCTTTTACTGGTCTCCATTTCAGGGGGTTAAGGGAAGGCTGGCAGTCTTCCCCTTAGAGCCTGGTGCCTATGTATAGATTCATCTCTGCAATCTCATGTTCACGTGACACCAGCAATTCCTCCCCACCTTGGGGAAGGCTCCCTTTTTTTTTTTTTTTTTTTTTTTTTTGACTTGGCCTCTCCTGGGCTCCTTGATGGGTCTGTTTGCTCACCGAGAAGACAAGCCTCAATGACTGTTGTTAGACTCACAGAACTTTCCGAGAGCGGACCCATCATGTTACCTTTGTCCTCCCAGATCCAGGAGTGGGGCCCATTCGATCTGGTGATTGGGGGCAGTCCCTGCAATGACCTCTCCATCGTCAACCCTGCCCGAAAGGGACTTTACGGTAGGTGCCCATTTTGCTCCTCTGCTTTCTGAGCTGGTCCTTCTTCACTTGGGTCTTAGGTGTTGTCCTCTTTGGACATTTCTGCCCTGGCAGCTCCTCTAGTGACCCTTTTCCCTCACCCTCCCCGGGCCCAGGCCTCACCACTGTCTGGTGCACACAGCCCCGCGGCTGATGGCTTTGTCTTTCTTCCAACCTCTCAGAGGGTACCGGCCGGCTCTTCTTTGAGTTCTACCGCCTCCTCCATGATGCGCGGCCCAAGGAGGGTGATGACCGCCCCTTCTTCTGGCTCTTTGAGAACGTGGTGGCCATGGGCGTGAGCGACAAGAGGGACATCTCGCGATTTCTTGAGGTACAGCCAGCAACTCTGGTTTGGCCAGCTCACTCCTGGCTTCCACCATGGAGCGCCGCTTCATCCCTTGTCTTGTCTGCATCCCGGGGCTGGGGGCTTCGGTTTGCAAGGGGCAGCTTGGTAAAGACTCCCACGGCCCCCCTAGAGAGAAGAGTGCTCACCTAACGCCAAGAAGTGGCATGATAGTAGGTCAAAAGAGTAGGCTAAGGCCAGACTCCTGAGGCTTGGGGTCTGGAGAGAACTCCGATTCGGTTTTGGTTTTTGTTTTTTTTTTTTGTCTCTGACCAGAGTGGCCTGTGCTCACTCCCTCAAACCCCCATGGGTGCTTCATGACACCTGAGATGAAATCATGGCTATCTCTGCTTTTATTTCCTGTGATGTGAGCCCCAGTTCAGCACCGAGCCAAGTATAAGCCTTACACAGGCAATTGCTGCTGCCCAAGGCATTCTTGGGGTGGGCTGTCAGCCTATGCTCCCATTATCTCTAACTAGCTCAGTAATACCTCGGGCATAGTAAACGCACAGGCATGTCAGAGCTTGCTCTCCTGAGCCTCTTGAGTGGTCTGATGTAGCCACCGGCCTTGTGGCTGTTCTAAGAAGAATGAGCCTTACCTTAAGCACAGGTAGACACCCATAGTACACAGTGGCTACTGGAATAATAATCGTTCCTGTCATTACAGAAAGTTCAGTTGGATTGTACTGGTCTATCTGGAGTGTTCTAGCCAGCACATGTGGGATGTATTTAGGTTTACTTCTGACTTTTTTGTTGGTCCTTCAGGGTTATCCCAGAAAGAAGTGCCTCAGAGGCGAGGCACTGAGGCTTTCAGCCAGCCCAATCACCCAGCAGCAGTATTTTAATTACTATTCCTTCTTTGCTCATCTCGAAACCATCTCGTGTTTTACAGTCCAACCCCGTGATGATTGACGCCAAAGAAGTGTCTGCTGCACACAGGGCCCGTTACTTCTGGGGTAACCTTCCTGGCATGAACAGGTTGGTGAGCGCTCTCGGTATCGGGGAGAGGAGAGGAGTGGCTGAAGGCAGGAAGCCCAAGTGTGTGTGGGGGACACCGAGGGTCCGGCCTAGACTGCCTTTGCTGAGTGGCTGCTGCTCTGTGTGCGTGTGCATGTGTGTGCATGAGAGTACGTGTGCGTTTAAATACTTTCTTGAGAAAGTGGACATGGCAGATTAAACCTGGTCTTCGTTGCACACAGTAGGCAAATGTTTTAACACTGAGCTACAACCCAGCCCTGGTGTCTGGGACCGGCTGTCCCTCTGTAGTCTGGTTGGGCCTCGTACTCAGGAATCCTTGCTTCTTTCCCCTCTTGAGTGTTGGGTGATAGACTGTGTTACGGCACTCAGCTAACTCTTAACCTAGGACGGGCCTTCACTTCCCCGGGCTGCCCCTGAGATAACAACACAGCGGCACTGAATTTTAAAGTGTGCCTTTAAGGTTTATATTCCAATCGGCTCCAGCCACCATACCCACCCATGAAATCAATTGCCACAGATCAAGGTACAGGTTGATTTGTGGCAGGGCACTCAAAGCTCAGTATAATGGATTTTAAAAATGTACTTTTCCCCCTAGGTAGGGCATTAGCTGCCTAGTGTGTGCTTTGAAACTCCTTTTAAATTTGCCTGTAAGGATTAAGGCTTGTTTGGTTGCTTGTGGGTAGGCATGTATTCAGAGGGTTATGTTGTGTGTGTCTTTTCGGGGTAGAGGGTTTTAGACCTTCCCTTGAGTCCTGTGGCTGCTGGGGGTTGGCACCTGGATAGGGCTTTTCTTGCTCTGTGCTGCCATGGTGCCTCTTGCTTCCTAGGCCATTGGCATCCACTGTGAATGATAAGCTGGAGCTGCAAGAGTGTCTGGAACACGGCAGAATAGCCAAGGTCAGCCTCAGCACCCAGGACAAGGGTGGGGTGGTAGTTGACGTCAGGATAAGGTAACGAACGCATGGCAGAGCTGTGTGCCATTTGCCCTCTTGGGATGTGGTGGGATCACATAACCAGTTGGCCAGGGAACGGGCCAAGCCTGCTGACCCTTAACCAACCCCTCCTGCCACTGAAGGGTCTTTAACAGGGTTCTGGGAAGTGCTTGTGTTAGTATTTGTTAGCATAGGTACATGGACATTTTACCTGCATATTCTCGGTGCCACCGCAGGTATGCTTATAAAGGCCAGAAAAGGGTGTCGAATGCCCTGGGACCGGAGTTAAGAACCAGTTGTGAGCCTTCCCCGTAGGTGCTGGGAATTGGACCTAGGCCCTCTGGCAAAGGAGCCCGTGCCCTTAAGCTCTGAGCCATCTTCCAGTCTCCTAGCTTTTTAAGTCGGGTGTCTCCCTACTACCTAGATCAGTCCCTGTGAGGTTTGGCTTTGGCTGGGTCTACCCCCTTCCGATTCAGAAGGTGCAACTTTTCCATTCCCCCCACCCCTTCCTTTTTTGAATGCTGACTAGGACTTAAGTATGCTTTTTTCTGATTCTTTGGGTTTCCTTACTCTGTCTCTAGAGCCTGCCTCCCTCGACACGGGGCTGCTTGTCCGCCATGTGTCTGATCTACATGCTTGCTTAAACAGCATGGCATTTCTCCTCCTCTCCTCCAGGCAGCTGCTGAACATTTCCAGCCTGCCTTTTCTGGAGTTTTTCTTTTAAGCTCTAATAAAATTGTTCTTCACTTCCAAAGGAAAGAACAGTTTTCGTTTTGTCTGTGTTTTGCCGGGACCCAAAAGCCTGCCATGTGGAGAGCAGCCTCTTGTAATGTAATTTCTTTCTGGAGAACTCTCACGCGACTGCCTCAGCTGTTAGGCTCTGTCCATACGGTCTAGCATTCTGGGCTGCAGACCCCCACAGCGCGTGCCTTCGAGCTGCTGACTCGTTGACATCCTTCTTCTGCCTGCAAGTTGCCCACCCCTGAGAGAGCCAGGGCTCTGGAAGACTTAAGGAGTGAGGTCGCCATCGCTGCTCCCTCTCAGGCCTGATTAGAGCGAGAATGCCCAAGTGACCTCAGAATGGGAAGGGAAACCGGGACCAGGAAGAAAGGAGGCTTATACTCAGTGACCTGAATGGGCTGGACCAGCCAGCCCGTTATCCGAAAGTGATGTCTGCTCACTTCCTCTTCCTCTTCGTCTTCTAGTTCAGCAAAGTGAGGACCATTACCACCAGGTCAAACTCTATAAAGCAGGGCAAAGACCAGCATTTCCCCGTCTTCATGAATGAGAAGGAAGACATCCTCTGGTGCACTGAAATGGAAAGGTAGCTGTGTTGGGGTCCCTGTGTCTGGCTAGGGCTGGGTTTGAAGGAAGGCTCTGCCTTGGCTGCCACTTTGTCATTTCCCCAGATTCCTTGTGAATTTTAACATACATTGCCCGGCAGGCCAGGCTCCTGGGGAGGACCTGCACATTCCATGCCTGGTCCCTGCTCAGAGGGGTCTTGGAATCACCCAAAGAGCCCACTGGAACCCCGGACCACAGTCCATGGGCCTCCTGGACTTGCGTCATAGGTATTCTGTATGGGTTTTGAAAGTCAGTGTAGATGCCTGTGGACCACACCAGATTGCTCCCGCCTGGGTGGGCCCCTTCTCAGGTCTGAGTCAGATTTAGCCAGATAAAAAGGCCGTTCACACAGACACTCTAAGCAACAGGCATCCCTGTCCCTGGAACTTGCCAAGTCAGAGTCCCACTCTCAGGGCCCCTCTCTTCCCAGAAGGGGGCATTTAGAGATGAATCTGAGTGTATTCAGACACAAGCGATCTGCAGCCCTCCAGATCTCATGTGCAGGGGATCTCATGTGCAGGGGATCTGTAGAGCATGTCCAAGAGGCATTTCAGAGGTGTGGGGGTTTTTTTGTTTGTTTGTTTATTTTTGGTGGATGTGAACTTTAAGGCCGGGATTTCATTACCCATCTTTAAATCCACAGAGTTCCTGGCACGTGGCTGAATTGGCCATAAAGGAGAGGGCAGCCTGCCTCAGGCATGCAGAGTGAGCCGACTGCCCTGGCACCCACACTCACTCAGCAGCACCTTCTGTCTTCCTCCTCCCACAGGGTGTTCGGCTTCCCTGTCCACTACACAGACGTCTCCAACATGAGCCGCTTGGCGAGGCAGAGACTGCTGGGCCGGTCGTGGAGCGTGCCAGTCATCCGCCATCTCTTCGCTCCGCTGAAGGAATATTTTGCTTGTGTGTAAGGGACGTGGGGGCAAACTGAAGTAGTGATGATGATGATGATGATGATGACAAAGTTAAAACAAACAAACAAACAAACAAAAAAAACAAAACACAAAACACCAAGAACGAGAGGACGGAGAGGAGTATCAGCAGCACCCAGAAGAGAAAAAGGAATTTCAAACAAACACAGAGGAGGAAATGCCGGAGGGCTGGGCTTGGCCTTGCAAAAGGGTTGGACATCATCTCCTGAGTTTTCAATGTTAATCTTCAGTCCTATTTAAAAAGCAAAATAGGCCCCTCCCCTTCTTCCCCTCCTTTTCCGAGGAGGCGAACCTTTTGTTTCTATTCTTTTCAGAGGGGTTTTCTGTTTGTTTGGGTTTTTGTTTCTTGCTGTGACTTAAAACAAGAGGGTTATTATTACAGCAAAATCAGTAACAACAGAAAGTAGTGATACCTTGGACAGGAAAGGGAGAGGGAAAATTCTATAAAAATTTATATATTGTTTTTTTTTTTTTTTTTTCTATATATATCTCTTTGGTTGTCTCTAGCCTGATCAGATAGGAGCACAAACAGGAACAGAATAGAGACCCTCGGGAGGGAGGCAGAGTCCCCTCCCAGCCCCTGAGCAGTCTCAAGAGCACCATTCCTGGTCACGCCGAACAGAACCCAACTAGCAGCAGGGCGCTGAGAACACACCAGACACTTTTCTACAGTATTTCAGGTGCCTACCATACAGGAAACCTTGAAGAAAACCAGTTTCTAGAAGCCGCTGTTACCTCTTGTTTACAGTTTATATATATATGATAGATATGAGATATATATATAAAAGGTACTGTTAACTACTGTACAACCTGAATTCATAATGGTGCTTTCACAACAGCGAGATGAGCGAGAACATCAGCTTCCACCTGGCCTTCTGTGCAAGGGGTTTCAGCCCAGGTTGTGGGGGGAGAGTGCAGCTGGAGGGCTCACCTCTGAGAGAGGGGGGTGTCATTTTCCCTCTTGGTTTTTAACAAGCCAGAGGAGGAACCGTATCCCCCCGACACATGCCCAGCTTCTCCCTGCCCAAGAGGGGGTCAAGCGGAGGTGGTCGGGACCTGGGAAAGCTGAGTGTGGAATTTCTCCAGACTCGTGCAATAATAACCCTTGAATATCATCTAATATGACTGCCTTGGTAAGGTGGCATGAGAAAAACTTTCCCCCGATTTTGAATTTGTCAGCCACATCGAAGGCTCCTCATGGGATCAGAAATAATCCAGAGTGAGGGAAAGCGATCTGCCATGAACCCCACCTGGAGCAAATAAAAAAACATACAAAATGTACTGGTGCTTTTTGTCTAAGTTGCCTTTTGTGTGTTCTTTTATGAGCCCCCCACCACCACCACCATCCCCTCTGCACAAGGCAGCTCTGGTCCTGGAATGGGATGTTTTTGCTCATCTCTACAGACTGCAGTTTCATACTTGGAAGGCTGATGACACCTTTATTATAATTATTCTTATGGTTCTGGTTATAATTGTTTGTTTTGAGATTTTCTTTGAGAAAACAGAAACCCAACACCCTTCCCTTTAGGTTTCAAACCAAGGTGCAGGGGGGTGGGGGTGGCAGGTGCTTCTAAGGACCGGTGGCTCTGGTGCCCTGGCTCCCACCCCTTGGGCCAGGTGGGCCACTGGGCAGTACAGCAACAAGCTAGACGGCCAGGGAGTTCTGAGGCCCACCCTCCGGGCCGGTCACTCTCCTCCTCTTCTTCTTCTTCCCTTCCTCCTGAGTCCGGTGTGTCAGGGCCGGAGGGAGGCCGGGGCAGCCTCTCTCCTCGTGTGTGTGATTGGAATGGCGTGTGTTTCTTTTCTAGTGTTTGGTCTGATAGTCGCGCTCTCACCTTGGGGCAGCGTCACCTGGGGCCCACGAGCTCGCACTTTGTCCCGCTTCCTACCCAGGGCAGGCAGCCTGGTGTTGGCAGTGGGAAGAGGAGGTGATGTTGGCCCCAGGGTGAGGGCCCGATGGGCAGAGCTTGCCTGGATGGATGGAGTGTAGATATGTGGCATATAGAGATATATATTTTATAATGGGAGGGGGGACGGCACCTCCTGGGACCAGCAGGGGCTGGGAGGTGTGCTGTCAAGCACATGGTCCCAAGACCGCATCCCTAGAAAGATGGGGCCTATGGTAGGCCCCATATAAATAGATAGGGTCATGTATAAGAAGTATCCACCGTGGGGGTTGGAGGGAATGGGCTCTGTGTTGAGCCCGGGTCCCTCCCACAGACAGCCCCACGCCAGTCAGTCAGTCAGTCCAACACATGCACAGGAACCTATTTCTGTCTGGATGCACACCAGGGAGCTCCTGGCATGCTTCTACCCAGGATCAGGAGGCTGGAGTTGGCCCGTGCCGCTCTTACCCCTCTGTGGCCCTGATGACAGGTAGACTCGATCCCGAAGTTGCTAGGTGCTGAAGTCAGGAAAAGGAGGAGGTTCGATCCAAGCAGGTGCTTCCTCTAGCAGGTCTCTTGTATACCTTTTGCCCCTGGTGATGTCAAAGATTCTTCTGTTAGCAGCCTGTGGTTACTGGACCTGCAACTCTAGGCACCAGTCAAGCGAGCCCTCGACTCCCCCTACCTATTCTCCCCAACCAAAATCAAATTGAAATCTGTCTTGGCCACTGGGCTTTCATTGGGAAAAGGAAAAAAAAAAAAAAAAATTGAAATTAAAATGGGACAGGGGACCTCACCTTTGGAGTAAAGTGAATTAGTAATTAGTGATAAAACCAAACAAAGGCTTTGGCTCCCTTGCTCACTCCTCAGGAGTGAACCCAGCCGGTGGCTTGTTAGACCTCTTGGGCTGTGTGGTCCTGCCCACCTCTGCTCATTTTCTCTGGATAGATTTTTAAGATGACAGCTTGTTCTTGCTGTGGCAGGTAGTGACTGCGGGGCCGGAGCATCTGAGAGGGGGGATGCTTGCCCCCTTGGAGTCCCTGTGCTAAATGTGATGTCCTCCTTTGCTCCAGCAGGCCTCCATTCTCAATCTGGAGTCCACCAGCACCGTGCAGGAGGACTTGGGGGGGAGGGGGGCTGCCTTAGGCAGTCCAAGGTGCTCCCTCCCCCTCTAGCCAATGCCAAGGTCTTCCCAGTTCTTCCTATCAGGATATGGTCTTCAAGGGCCTTCATCTGCTTCTGCCTACTGCTCACGTGAAGAAGCTAACCTTTCCCAGTTACCCAGCACCACCTCAGCTGGGCCTGGTGCTCCCCAACCCCTGGGCTTAGTGTAAGGGTTCAAGAGGAGCCTCAGTGGCGAAGGATGTGGCATTCTCAAAGAACTGAGTGCAGGCTTCCAGGTGGCTGACCAATACTGACCTGAGAAGTTCCCTAGAACGGATTCCTCATGGGGCATCTGGTGGTTTTCACCAGCTTTCCTTCCAGCCCAGTCTGTGGGCTTTGTCTTGCTGTAGCGTGTAGGTACCAGTTAGCCATTGACCATCCCCCCCCATCTCTCTCTCTCTTTGGGGGTCTTTGGGAATGTGCCAGCTTGGCAAAGCTGTGATGCCCTCCATCCACCTCTATCCCAAATGGAGAGCTAGGATGCTATGGTAGTTGGGGTGGCGTTGTGGGAAGTTTATGCAGTAAACCTAGGAGCTCACTGTAGATGGAGCTGAGGCTAGCATCAGGTCCTGGGAAGATCCCCAGAGGGGTTCCCTGTGGGGTTTCCTTTCCAAAGAAAAGGCTTGTTTCCCCTGGAAACTAAGGTGCTAGGGACCGAGTAACAGCCTGCCTTCTGCAGGTGCCATGTGAAGCCTTGTGCCAAAGATCTGTGGCCCTTGCCCAGGGGAGGTAGCCGGTGCTAGTGCCAGGGTCACGGAACCAAGGCCTCCTGCGGAGGGAGGCACACATGCCAGCGGGGTCCCAAGCTGGTGCTAATCCCTCCCCATAGGACCCAGTAAGCCTGGGGGCCTGTAGTAGGCTGTTTTTCTGCTGTTGAATACCCTATTTGAAAGCAAAAGTCCCCTAAAGAGCCTCTTGGACCTCTTCACTTTGGCAGCAGGACTGTGTGTGGCGGCAGGTAGGGAGACTGCAGGTAAAGATTGCTGTAGCTTTTGGCAAATGACGAGTGTGGATTTGGGAGCAACCGGTAGTAAGGCAGGCCAACATTGAAAGGGCCTACCAGCCTGGTAGCGTCTCTGTTATGAAGATGCTCTGGTCATCCATCACGTGCTGCGTCCAGGGTAAAGCATCTGGTTTAGGAGTTGGGGAGAGTTAAGCTGAGCCACTTTGAAAGACTATGCTTACAGGAAAACTATAGATTGTTGGTTTCTATATATATTTTTTTTTACTACGCAGTGTGTCCCGAGAGTAGAAGTGAGTTCCCAGCCCTGTTGAGATGGGCGCTGAGCTTTTATGGCACTACACGGTCTTCAGGAACTGTCACTGTAGGGGCCTGGGCCGTGTGGCCAGCCCAGCTGAGTTTGCAAGCAGGCCCATGTTCAGATCTGAGTTTGGCCCTTGACTGCTCGCAATGCTTGTGATGAGGTGGTGGCACTGAGGTGCCCCGCGTGGCGAGGAACAGCTGTAGCCTCTCACCCCGCTATAACGGCAAAGGTGTTGCTGCTGAGTGATGAGGTGGAGTTAGAATGGCCCTTTTGACCCTTTCCCATCCAGTCAGTGTCAACACAAAAGAGCAGCAGTGCTGGGTCGGGGGACCCCTAAGGAAAGGGTTGAGGGGGGGTCATTGTGAGCTCGTGCATGTGTCTGGTAAGAAAGCTGAGATCTTTGGGGAGTGAGGATCTTGTTCGCAGGCTTCCAAGACCCAGCTAAGGTGGGAGCCTTTGCTTGGAGGCTAGTCTCTAGCCCCAGGCACTGGAGTTTTGGCATTGAGACCAAGAAGCAGGCCCAAAGGGAGAAATATGGATGGCCCTTAGCTGGTGGGGACTTGGCAGCTTCTCTAGGGGACCCCAGAAACTCCAGTAACTGGCTCCCCTATTGGGGTGCGCTCTATCTGTGGGCTCATAGAGTGGTCCCCCTAAACCCTGCCCAGCACCTGAACCTGAGGACATGAGCAGTGGTCTAAAGTCTCGCCTAGTCCCATTTTACAGACTAATTTGATTGCCCAGCCCTAGAATTCTCTAGAAAAAAAAAAAAAGCTGAAATTCTTCAGAATATGCAGAGGGGAGGGAGAGGTGACTCCACAAGGTGCTAAACACATTTTATTAAAAATATATATTGTTAAATTAAGTCTGCTGTCTGGACAATGATGTTTTGTTTTGTTTTCTTGTAGTGGAGTTTAAAAGAGACTATTATTTTACTCTGATATATTATTATTAAAAAAAGGCATTTTAACTTTGTACTTGAAAACTTAAGTGAGCGATTTCACGTGTTTTAGCTGAGGCATCGAAGTAGCGGGTGCTTACTTGTGGGAAATCATGTATTCATACTGCAAAATAAACTCCGTAGCTGATTTGGTAATAACGTTTACTGTTACAGGCGACTTCGCTTTGACCCCGGTGGCAGAGCACTTTTACTCCACATTCCACGCAGCTAAATGCAGGACCTTCCAGAATCTTTCCTCCCTCGGCCCTCTTTTTGGTTCCTCTTCCTCTCTCTCTTTTCCTATTTTTTTTTTTAATTGTTGTTTGTTTGTTTTTTTTCTGGTCCCAGCATCCTTCTTTCTACCACTGTATTTTTTTTGTTAGGGTTGCTTCTCTATTTATTGACAATAATAATGTACATTTCACAGTCTGGTTCTGGGACAGCCAGGAGCGGCGCGGGGGGCCGCACACAGCCTGCTGCACCGCCCGGCGTCCCATTGTATCTCTGTGTACGTGATGCTTGTGACATAGCTGTTGATGAAATAATTAAAAAAGGTCAATGCGTACAGCAGATGTAGAAAGTCTGTCAGGTCCGCTTTCATCACATTTTTTTTTCTTTTTTTTTTTTTCTTTTTTTTTGGTGCCCAGAAGAATATAATAAAGCTCCTTTCTAATGTACTTGTGCTGGAGAACACTTGAATAAATGGACTGTTTTTGTGCAAAAAGAAAAACGGAAAAAAAAAAAAAAGCACCGTCATAATGTCCTTTTGTCCTGCGTCTCTTTCCCCTGATGTGACAGCTCACAGTCCTCCAGAGGGCTGAAGTACCCAAGTGGGTTTAGATAACGCGGGGCGGGGGTTGCGGGCGGGGAGTGGATTTCTAAAGTATTGCCCGCCCATGTGGGTGGTCACTAGGGACTGGGGACCCAAGGACGGGGAGTTTAGAGTTAGACTGAGATGAGGTTGTCTAGAAAGGCAGCTTGACTTCCGGAAACAACAGATGTCTTGAGACCAGAGCAGGAAATAGACCAGCATCCTGGTTAAGTGGCAGTGGGAGGACCCAGTGGAGATGTACCTTACCTACTCCAGGGTCCAAAGGGAAGCAGCCTGGGAGGTGGACAGCTGGGCCTGGGGCTGGGGCAATCCTGGAAGAACCTGCGGTTTAAAGGAGATATTTGCAAACACTTGACAGGTGACCCAGGGGCTGGGACAAGTAGCCTATAAATAGAGCTATTGCCGAGCTGCTTACAGGCTACCTGGCAGGGCCTTTGCGGTCTGCGGAGTTGCCCAGCATCCCTGCCGTACCTGTCAAGAGGGGCAGCGTGAATGCAAGGTCTGTGTCCTACATGTATCTCCAGGAGTCCCCAGCAGGCTTGACCCAGGCGTCGCTCCTAAGGGTTGTTCAGGCCGTTTCTTCCACCAGGCTTTGGGGAGGTTAGAATGGCAAAAACATTGTGTGGGGGCACTTGAGCAGATGGGAAAAGCCCTGCCGAACAGGGTTTCTCATGGGCACTTTTTCTTGCTTGGTTTTTGTTTTTTGTTTTTTTTCCTTTGACAAGGTTGTAAATGTATATTTGACTTTTACTATACTTTTTTCTTGATGTTTTTCAATGTTGATGTGGAATCTTACTTTCAAATGGCTGCATGGCATTTTCTTGTTGAATGTTTGTTTATATATATTTTATTTTCGCTATAAATAGAGCTTCAATAAACATCTTTATGTTTTGGCTTCCCCCTTTTTGTATTATTTTTTTTCCCCCTTGAAATAGATTCCCAGAAATGAGACCAATTGGAGAAAGTGACAGTGGACATTTTGGTTGGTGCCTGATTCCTTCCAAGAGGTCAGCAGACAGGCTGTGGGTTTCAGCTCTAAGATTCTGTCTGGCAAGAAACAGACTGGGCCCTTAGTGAGCAAGGAAGATGCTAATTTAGCTTGCTGTTCTGAAGGCTGGGTCCAGGATCGGGGACCTCGTGCTGTCCTGACAGACAGTGCAGAAGAGAGTTCAGACTCCCTTCATATGGAACTCACTTCCCAAAGGTTCTCCAATGCTGCCCCAGAGCTCTAGAGAGAAGACAAGCCACAGGAAATCTGTAGCACACATGTGAATCCCAGTAGGGAAGTGTGTGTGCGCGCACATGCGCAAACACATGACTAGAAGTCACCAGCCCAACGTTGGGTGTGATAAAAGCCTCTTGACCTGCCTCTACCCACTACCCCGCAGTGTACCCATTCCTAGCGCTGGGATTCCAGATGTGCAACCATACCTGGCTTTCTACATAGGTTCTTGGGGTTGAATTCAGGTCCTTACACTTACACAGCAAGCAGGCTTACCCACCGAGCCATCTCCCCAGCCCAAGACTATTATAATTCTTTCGAGGCTAGACACTAAGGAGAAGAAGGGGGGGGGCGTGTTACAAGTCCTCTTTCCTGGTTGAATCCAGGCAGCGACAGTGCAGCCTCAGTCTCCAAGACTTACTCCAAGGCTCGGGAGAGAGGGAAAGACAAGGGGAGGTGGGGGAGAGATAGGTGGAGACATCCTTGGTTCTGAAAGCCATGCTTAAATGTCTAATGACCATCCTAGCCAGGATTGGGAGAGCTCACTCAAGGAAAGGTACTGCCCGCCATTTGGTTAGTAAAAACCGATCGACAGGATCTCTGTGAATTTGAGGCCAGCCTGGTCTACAGAGTTCCAGGACAGCCAGGGCTGCACAGAGAAACCCTGTCTCAAAACAAAGAAAAAGAAACACACATGCACACACACACACAAAACCAACCCACCCCCCACCCCGCATCCCAAAAAAGGCCGGGTGATGATGGTGCATGCCTTTAATCCCAGCACTCGGGAGGCAGAGCCAGGCGGATCTCTGTGAGTTCGAGGCCAGCCTGGTCTACAGAGGGAGTTCCAGGACAGGGTCCAAAGCTACACAGAGAAACCCTGTCTCGAAAAACCACAAAAACTATTGGTGAAGGTCCTGGTGTCCCTTGATAATTCGGGGTTTAGAGGAACAGGGATGTTGGCACAGAGCCAGGGCTGACAGAATCAAGCAATATATTTGTGAAACAAGCCACAGAGTTAAGTGGCACCCCCATACCTAGGTGGTGTAGGTGAGGTGGGGTGCATACACTCTGCTACCTAGGCTGAATTTCAGCTTCTGCTAAGGGGACTGGTGGTGGGTCTCCGGAACAGAAGTGGAACAAGGGGCGGCCACAGCTGGCCACGAGGGAGGGCGAGTGCGTACACCGGAGCTGGTGTGGCCTCTGGTGTAATCTCTGGGGCTGTGTGTGTTAGATGGAGGCCTGCAGTGATGTAAGGAAGTGGGGGCTGCAGGGGGGCACAAGTCACCGGGCATCACCTTCAAGGATCCATTTTGCCTTGGCTTCAGGGCATAGTGAACAGACAAACCCTTCCCCTCGGTGGCCTGGCCCCCCCTTCTTGACTGGGACTCTGCGACAGGGGCCACAGGGTTGGAAGGAAAGTCACCTTGGGAAGTTGAAGGTGGAGGCATCTGTGGGATAGTAGCCAAAATAACATTTAAAAAAAAAAGAGATGTATTTATATTTTATTCATGTGGATGCTATGTGCGTGCAGATGCCCTGGGGGGCCAGAAGAGGCATCAGATTCCCCGGAGCTGGAGTTACAGGCAGTTGTGAGCTGCCATGGGGGTGGGAATTGAACTCTGGTCCTCTGGAAGAGCAGCAAGTGCTCTTAACCACTGAGCCATCTCTCTAGTCTCCCCACTTTTTTAAAGATTTAATTTATCAAGGGACTAATTAGTATGTTGGGTGCCTCCATGAGTTTATGCTCACCATGTGCATGCAAGTGCCTGGAGAGGTCAGAAGAGGGCATTAAATCCTCTAGAACTGAAATTACAGGTGGCAGTGAGGGAGCCACCAGGAGTGCTGGGACCCTAACCTGGGTCCTAATTAGTGACCCTTTAATACAGTTCTTCATGTTGGGACCCCCCAACCATGAAATTATTTTTGTTGTTACTTCATAATTGCCAATTCTGCTACTGTTATGAAGTATAAAGTAAATAACTGAATTGCAACCCCCGTGAAAGGGCCCAAAGGGGTCGCTGCCCACAGGTTGAGAAACACTGGTTGGCGGGTTGCCAGACAACCCAAGTTTGATCCTCAGAACCCGCGTAAAAAAAAAGCCAGATGTGGGGTTAGCAAGATGCTTCCGCAGGTAAACTTGCCCAGGGTACCACTCCATCAGAGGCAGGGCTTCAAAAAATAATCACCGATCCAGGCGGCAATGGCGCACGCCTTTAATCCCAGCACTCGGGAGGCAGAGGCAGGCGGATCTCTGTGAGTTCAAGGACAGCCTGGGCTACAGAGCGAGATCCAGGACAGGCACCAAAACTACACAGAGAAACCCTGTCTCGAAAAACAAAACAAAACAACTCACCATCACGTGACATTTTGCCTTTGACTATGATATTTGACTTACTGCGGCAGGGTCTCAGAGGGCCATCCTTGCGCATGTGTGTGCCACCCTCCGTGGGTTTCCCCGCTCCCCCCTCCCCCCAGGGCAGCCTACCCAGACTTCCGGGTCACAGGGCGATCCCTTCCCTTCACGAAGGGTCCTGTATGCCCACCCGGCGCACATCCTCACTCTGGGCAGCCAAGGTCATCCTGAGACCCAGACTCTGGGGCTGCAGTTGGGTGCAGTTAGCAGCCACCGAGGGTCGTAGGGCCCGAGACCCTTAGCGACTACTTGGTGAGACGGTGCCACCCTGCCCAGACCATGTGACCGTGCAGATGGCAGAAGGCCAAGGCTGCAAGTCTAGAGAACTCTAGTTCTGCAGCCCGGTGCCAACAACTCAACATTGCCCTCACTGCTCTGCAGATTGGCTCAGGCCGGGTGTGGGGACCAGACTCCGAGGAGCAGAGACCCAGGTGTGGGTGGGAATTCAGTGAATCTACGCAGAAGAAATCAGACCAGTCCAAAGCCTGGCTAGGTTTCCCTATCTGTGAAATGGGCACAATGAATAACCACCATGCTCCCCATCCCCCCACCCTCAACCCCGGGGTGTTGAGTTCTGAAAAATGGGCACCACCTTCTGGTATTAGCGTTGGGCTGATGTTTCTCCCAGCGCTCGAACTCAGCCCTGGGCAGCCAGGAAGGAAGCCCAGCCATACAAGAAGGCAGGCAGGCCTCCGTCATTTTGAGGGCTTGCTTCACACCTTCCCTGATGACTTCCCTGTGTCATCCCGACATTATAGGGATTTAGACTATCCATAAAATAGCCTGGAGCTCAGCTGCAGGAACGAGGGCAGGCAGCCAGGAAGAAGGTTCTAGAACGCAGCTCTCTGCCCTTCTGGGCTGTGTCCCACCACTTCCTTCACTAGCTCGTCCCCCCCCCAGTCCCGTTCCCCCCCCCCCCCCGCCCCCCCCCCCCCCCCCCCCCCCCGACTTCCCAGCCTCAGGTCCGACTCACAGCACCTGTCAGTTCCTTCCACACTGGCTTGCTCCGTCTCTGGCTCCTCACCAGGTTCCTGTGACCTCTGGCCTCTGGCTGCTCAGAGCCGACCGCAGGGTCACCCTGGTCCAGTGAGCTGTGACAGAGGTGTGTGTGTGTCTCTTGAAATTCAGACACCTTCCTTTTCCAGCGGTAGCTGGGTTTTTCTTCCAAGAGGGGCTGGCTTGGTCCCCTAGGAAATGCCACACTGGGGGCCATCCAACCTAGGCTCTCTGGTGAGCTGTAGCCTGGGCTACATTATGCCATTTCAAAGACCCCCACACACACACACACAAAAAAACAAACAAACAAACAAACAACAACAATAAACAAAACTCCACCCTAACCCCCACAGGAAAAAAAAAAACAAAACATTGAGACATGGAAGAAGAGGCTTTTCAAATCTCTCAGGCCCACCATCTCCCTCTACATACAACTATGTTCATTAAAAGATGATTCCTGGGGTTGGGGATTTAGCTCAGTGGTAGAGCGCTTGCCTAGCAAGCACAAGGCCCTGGGTTCGGTCCTCAGCTCCAGAGGGGGTGGGGGAGAGACGATTCCTTAGGGCCTGTGAAACGGCTCCGTGGGTAAAGGCATTTGCTACCAATCCTGGTGACCAGAGTTCAATTGCCAGAAGCCACATGGTGGAAAGGGAGAACTGAGTCCTGCTGGTTGTCCTCGGACCTCCACATGTTGTACATTCATGTGCCCATGTGCACACAAACACATGATAAGTAAATGTGAAAAAAAAAAAAGAAAAGAAAAGAAAAAGACAGACAATTCCACCATGATAAATGTAGAATCACACTGACCCATGCTTGGAGACTGGAGAGTCTAGGGGCTTGCTTCTAGGTTTCTAGCCTCTGAGTGCGTATGCTCACACTACATGTGTTCCCGAGAGCGCTTGCTTTAGGGTAAAATGCCCGAAGTGGGGTTGCTGGGCATCCGCTTAGGGCCTTCTTGTGTTTTGGAGTCCGCATTTTTCACCTGATGTCAGAGTGCCCCCACCTTTCCTGCATGCACAGGCTGGCTTTCCTCGAAGCCACCGAAAGTTCCCTGCCCGCCTCTTAGCACTCACTTCTGCAGGGAAGAAGATGGAAGCCCCCACCTGCTCCTACCCACACAGTGTCACGCCTGGGATCTGAGTGGCAGAATGACAGGCAGCCAGGAGCCAGAAGCAGCTGGAGGAGCTGTCACGGCTGTCACCTTCCTGGGGGCCTCCCGGGACACACCAGGTGAAGATTTCTATCGCCTCTGGCTCCTCTG